TCCATGTTCTTCCTATGTTGGGGGCTCCAGAGCTGGACGCAGGACTCCAGGTGGGGTCTGACGAGAGCGGAGTAAAGGGGCAGAATCCCCTCCCTCGCCCTGCTGGCCACGCTTCTCCTGATGCAGCCCAGGGTACAGTTGTCTTTTTTACATTATACCCACTACTATTTTGATTGCAATTCCCATGCACAGTGGTACTAAAGAAGTACAAAACGGAATCAATGGTGATTTGGAAAACATCAACTGTCCTTCTGGGGATAAAACCCCTCTGTTAGATGGCATTTTTTAATATATACTGGGAAATTGGAGAAAGGTGTAGTTGTGCTTCAGGCTTCCATTCTGCAATATAAGAGCAAAATTTTGCCTTCTTATACCACCTAACTTTCTGAGGAAATCTTTAGCCACCTTCTCTGCTGAATGAGGTTTCTCCAGACCCCTTAGGACTGAACCCTTAGCCACTACCACTGCAAAATCCCCTAGCATTTCCAAGCTATTTCCAAACTCTGCTGTAGCTGGACTTCTTTCCTGAGGGACAAAGGAGAAGTTGTGAGCAGTAAAACATGAGACCACTGAGACGAGCAGGGCAGAAAATGTGCAGAGGGTTCAAAGAATTGATAAAAATTGTCTCATAAAAATTGGAAAATTACCCATGTTCTTCCACGGAGCAAAATCAGGCTCTACATACTCACCTGGCCCTGGAGCAGTCTGTCTATCTCTGAGCTACTCAACTAAAATCGAGTGCTACTATTACCTTGTACTTAGCACTTCTGTAAAACTGACTTCCCTTCTACCCCTCCAAAAATGAGCTGAAGCAGTCTGGCAGTTTATCTACTAGGCACATAAATATATCTTTGAGAGCAGCTAGGGCTGGTTCCCTGTAGAGGTAGAACAATTCTCAAATTCTTCTATTAATTAACCTGGAACTAAGCTTCACCTCAATAATAGCAAATACAAATAGAAAACATGAAAGTACAGTAACTAATTCAGCGACTTTCTGAGCTAAAAATAATGCTGTGTGTTGTGACACGTCTGCCAAGCAATTACTTGGTGAAATTTCAGCATCAGCGTAACCGCCTTTACACCAGTGTCAGTGCAAGGGAGGAAGAAACGAATTGATATTGCAGAGAAAGCAATGACGGGATGCTTGCAGAGAAGCCCTGGCTATGGACACGGAAAAGCACCTCTCCTCAAGAATACACTGAAGCACAAAAATGCTATCCTAACCATGTATCTTCTGAAGATGTGATCCAGTTATAAACAGTAATTACACAAAATGAATGCACATTTTTCTCTAAGGCTTCTGAACATTTTATATTATTTTTCTCAACTGACTGTCATTCCACAGAGACTTTTCAGACTGGTTCAAAAGCATTAGTCTGAAGAGTATTTGTTCTGGCTGAAGTTCACCTACAGGCAAGACGCATGGAAGAATCTGCAAATCATTTAAAGAAGACAGACCATAAAAGTGGAATTAACTTCTTACAATCTTTGTTGAAACTTTCTCAGTGGTCTCTTCCTTCCTCCACCTATTTATTAGAAACTTCAGTTCTTGTGCTTGAATTGAAGTAGGGCAGACCAGGTGAATTCCCTCGAAGGCCCTAATCCACTTTCCTCTTCATTTACTTTACAGGGTTAGCTTTTTCAAGCTACTTCCTCCACTCTCTGACAGAGAATGGTGCTGCAGCACAAACAGAATCGCAATACATAGACTCCAGTATTTTCACTGTGCAATTCTGACAGCCTCAAGGAAGGTGAATAGCAATCCTGGCAACTGTTCATACGCTGGGGATTTATATTTATTAGCAATGAAACACAGTCAGAAGCAAATTCCTGAAGAACAGTGAACCTGTTAATTGTCCTGATGAAAGACAAAAGGCAGTACATATGGCATTGAGTTTGATTTGCCAGTTAATTTCTACAGACAATGATTCCATTATGTTCTTAATGCTTTGTTTCATTTTTATTTCTCCTCTGGGTTTGGTCATTCATAGGATTTGCTGTGGGAGTTCTTTCATTGGGCTGTGTTACAAATCAGGACATTCACACTCCATAATTTTTGGGGTGTGGACTATTTTTCTATACTCTGAATACTTAAAATATTGAAAAGGAAAAGCCCTCTGAATATTTTTGCAATGAGTTTATGTGCAAGAAGTTTCACCGTAATGAAAGGACCACCTCAGCAAGTCAGTTGCATGGTTTCACATATCGACACATAAATATGGTATAAATAGTCATGGCAGAAAACCCCTTTAATAGCTAGACTATAGTAAAAATAAAGTAGATGGATCACGGAATACAGGGAGGTGTAGGGTGGTAGTGACCTGAGACCTCATGCAGTGTTATCTTAAAAGCTAGACCAACTTTCTCAGAGTCTCATCCATTTCAATTTTGCAAATCCCCAAGGATGGGGCATTCACAGCTTCCACCAGCACTTGCTTCTGGGCTGAACCACTCTTCCAGTGAAGAACTTTTTGCCTGAAGTCTAATCAGATGCCACAGATAAGCTCTGCTATTCATGAGACAACGTCATAACCTGGCCGGCCAAACCAGTCTTACCTGGGCACCGTGGTGTTTTGTGGGCCACAGCAGTACCACTGATCGGACGACCGTTGGGAGTGACACACCAGCAGTATCCCGTGTAACTATGGCACTGAACCTGTCAGAAATGACATGGACCACATCCAGCTTGTCAGTCATAAGTCCGTTATCCCACAGTGCTCATGACACAGTGTTCTAGTCCACTAAACTATATTGACAAAACTTGGAACAATAAACCGTAATGGACCTAATCTCAGTCCTACATGTGATTCTTTAGCATAAAGAAGAGTTTATTGCAAACAAACTGTGGTAGGTCCTTCAGATTCCAATGGAAGAGAAAACTACTGAAATATGTGGTTGTTTACACCCTATTTCAGAAGAGTGAGGTGCAGGTGTTATGAAAACCTCACCACAAAGTTCCTCAAGGGACACATGAACTGTTCCTGAAGCAAGCAATCTCCATTTTTTTTCTGCATAGAGAACACATTGTTCCACTCACTGCAGGAGCAGGACAGAGTGCTTCTGCCAGCATTATTCATATCCCAAGTTGTCAGAAAGGAAACTCCTAGAATTCCTCTTCGAAATCAATTGCATTGCATTTCCTGATGGCCAATATCACTTCCCTCACCAAGCTTAAAATGAGAAGGATTGTCTTCTGCACAACTCCACAACTGAAATGCAGCACAGAGGTGACAGAAGGTGATCTTGACTGGAATATATATCACAGGGTAAAATTCCAACCGAGCCCCTTCTGAACTCCATGAGCTAACCTAAGCAAATTAGTCTCGGACCATATGCTTGTGCAGAAATTCAGCTGAGAATAGGGAAGAATCCTGTCTGATTCATGCTTTAGCGCTAAGATATGGACTCTGTCACAAGATTTCTGGTTCAAATCAGGAACAGATCAGAAATTCCAAGCATTTTACCATCTGATGAGTATTCAGGGGGCTACAAGAATGACTCAGCTGACTCAGCCTAGAAGAACAGGGAGTGTACGTATCCCATGAAAAATGGTAATGTTTGGCTGTTTTGCTTGCCAACTCTGAAAAAAAGAACAAGGACTCTGCACAAAACATGAATTTTCCTTCCATCTTTTAGCATCAGTGTCAGCACAAATGACACTTCATTTTGAAATTACATTTCCCTTCATTACATTTGTCTCTTCTTCACCCTCTGTAAACACACGTATTCTGACTTTCCAGCCATGCAAGATACTGAATGAAAAATTTTCAACCTGACTATATGTGCCATCATCATTGCACTCTGGGATAAACACTTGTTGAAATTCCTTGCGAGCTTGCTCCTGGGTGTACTTCCTCTCAGCCACACATCTGGAAACATCTAGAGAAAGGGAGAAGACAAGTCAGTTGGATGATGCAATATGAAGAAAAGACAGGTGATAATCTAAATTAAGAAAAAGTAAGAAGGCTCTGAGACCCACGTAAAGAGAATCAGAATTATAATCGGTGAAAATGTACAATCACTTGCATTATTTTCAGGAAAGAAAACCAGTGGAAGACAATAATTTCTGAATAATTATCCAGAACTGGGAAATGAGATGGAGAGATGCCTGAAGAGACAACCTTGCTGCTCCAACTGCTGCCGAAGGGTAGAAGCCCAAACAGGGCTTCTCCTATCAATTTAAGACCGTAATAGCTGCCACGCTGTGCCCCACGATATTCTTTCAGCACTGGTGGTAGCATCAGCTTTCCAGTGCTCCAACAAAGGCAAAGCAGCCAGCAG